TGTGTGTTTTACTGTGGTGACTCCTCCGTCCAGGCTGTGAGAACGTGCTGAAGAGAATGACCATCATCGGGGTGATCCTGTCCTTCCGCTCCATGGTCCAAGAAGCTCTGGAGGAGGTGAAGAACTGCTGATGTTTACAGTGTTCAGATGGTTTATAAATCTAGTATAGTCAAGCAAAACATCTTTATTAAAGGTGCTGTGTGTAAGGTAAGGCATAGCAATACCATGATATGTTTGCAGATGTTAAGGAAACATGCTCGCGTCAGCTTTCAGACTCTACACTCGCTGTCAGAATATCTATGTTTTAATGCCTGTAACTCCGCCCACTGCCAGTTAAGCCAATTATATTTCAGGACTCCGGGTTTCCTTCAGTGTATGTAGTTTCAGTCGGGAAGACTCTCAATGTATGCGCAGCAGCTGTAAATGCGCCCTCTGCAGGACAGAAGCAGCCGCAGAACTGAGACGCAGATTTGGTTATTAAAATACACATGGGGGGGAAGGGGGGTATTAGCGAACAATTTAAATATTACAAATGTAATCAGCTGATCAGCCTACTCAATCTTCAGGCACACTCATGATCTGTTGGTGTCATCAAAAACCCTCTGTGGTACTTTAAATTTTTACTGCAATACCAAGTTCAACCACTAGGTGTCAATCCTAGTTAATTGTACAGCTTTTTTGAATGCCGTCTAGTGTTGCTCTATTTACTCTGAGCTGACCCGAGGTCTCCATCTGCAGATCATGGACAGACACTGCCCGTTCCTCATGAAGCCCATCAGATGCCTGAAGGACTTCGTCTGTCCAGAGATCGACATCAAGGTAAAGCACTGAATCCTGGAATCACGATCCTCACCAGTGAAGAAACAGAACTCCTTTACTCAACATTAGTAGTGAATCAAGCCAAAACAAGAGCTGAACCAAGCAGCAGGATGCTTTACAGCTAAACATCAGTGCGTCTCATATTCCAGTGTCTAAGTTGTTCTCCTGCTGGTTATCATGACTCTGCTCTGACACAATCTGAAATCTACATTTTGGAAGAGTCAGTGACACTAATGGATATATATGTAAACATTTTATTTGTCCACATCTATACTGTGAAATGATGCTGTGATGAGGAGCTGCTGACCTTAGTCCCTACAAATAGTGTGACGTGTGTGTGTGTGTGTGTGTGTGTGTGTGTGCAGGTCACTCTGGGTGTGTATGAAATGGCGTCGGCCGCTGGTTTGCCCTGTGAGATCGACCCCGCGCTGGTTTCCGCATTAGCAAACATGCAGACAGGTGAAGTCCTGATCGAGGAGACTCTGTGTGTGTTTAGAGCCGTGTCCTGGGTGGATCTGCCTGAATGACACATTATTCTCTCCCTCAGATAACCCGTCGATGGAGGAGGAGTATAAGATCAGCTGTCTGCTGCTGGTGTACATCGCCGTTTCCCTGCCGTCGCTCTGCCTGGATCCAAACTCATTCTACAGCCGCGAGCACGGAGGTCAAGCACATCAACACCACACAACACCGCTTCAGTTTTTGATATGGGTTACAACTGAAGTCTGCAGGAAGGTAGATCTACAGGGACAGGGTTGGCCACCCCTGATCTAGAGGTGAAGCTGGAAGCAGAGCCCAGGTAGAGCCGGTGAGGCTGGAGGCAGGGCACAGCAGGAGAACAGGCAAGAACAAAAAGTAAAGGCATAGTCAGCAGGGCAGGAATCCAAGATGGTGGAGTAGGAGGACTGTCTCAGGTAGGGGGTGCAGACCACTAAGTAGGCACAGGAGAAGCAGGAAAGCACCTTTGTCAAGTTGCAGCCCACCCTAGTAATGCGAGGAGAGCAGAAGAACACTTCTGTGGGATCACCATGGAGGAGCAGAAAGGGCTGGCTTTAGTGTAGGAGCAGGGACTGGAGCAGCCTGTGGACTGAGTTAGGGTGGAGGACTGGAGCAGGGACACTGACTGAAGGAGATTTGGGGACTGGAGCAGGTTCCGGGAGCAGACCCATGGACAAGGGTAGATTCTTTACTGGACCCATGGACTGGAGCAGATCCTTGGGTGGACCAATAGACTAGGGCTAGGCTGTGGTTCAGGAGCAGACCTGTGAAGTAGGGAAAGTTCTGGACTGGAGCTGAGGACTGGAGTAGAGTCATGGATTGGAGCAGAATCAAGGACTGGAGTGGACTTTGAGGAAAAGCATGGGACTTGAAGTGGAGCCGAGAACTGGAGCAAAGTCATGGACTGGAGCAAAGTCATGGACTGGAGCAGGATCTGGACTAGGGAGAAGAATAGGACCTGGTTCTGGAGCAGATTGAGGGAAGCAGTGTCGAGGACTGCAGTAGGCTTTTATAAGTATGAGGTATTAACAGGCGTAGCATATCTAGAGATGTTAGAGGTCCCAGTCTGATAAAGACCTTTACAAGGGTCTCTGTGGTTCCCAAAATGAAGATGAATTAAACAAACTGCTGGAACCATTAAGGGTCAGTTGTTCTGTAATACAGGTAAGGATGAGAAGATTAGTGGATCCATGTGCAGCAACTGATCTAAAACCAGAAGCAGGCAAAGCAGGGCTGGAGCAGGAACAACTGATGGAGAAATGCTGAAACTCAACAGGCGGTTATAAACTGGAGAACAGAGCGCAAACCAGGTGACAAGGGGGTGGAGACACACTGAATCACTATGGCAACTAACCAGGGTAACCATGGGGACTGACAAGAGCGGCACAGACACTGAATCCTGGAGGGGAACAGCAGAAACCATGAGGAAACCAAAGCATCTAGCACAAGCCTGCTCAACCCTGTTTGGAGATCTCCCCTCCAGCAGAGTTCAGCTCCTTCCCTGATCAAACACACCTGGACTAATGAACTGGGACCTGAACAGAGCTTGATCATTACAGGCAGGTGTGTTTGGTATGAGTTGCGACTGAAATCTGCAGGTAGGTGTTGAGGGTTGAGCACCTAACTTAAGAAGAGTCTGTGCTCAATCCAAGAGCAGATCTCCACCAGCGTGCTCCGATCAAGAGCGAAACAAGATTATGGCTCAGATTTCAAGGATTTCCTTTATTTTCCACACACTTTCCAGAGTACACGAGTAGTGAATGAAGTCTTGAATGTTTACTTTCTGGTCAATTTAAGAATATCAGTTATTAAGAATATGAGTGTAACGTTCTATGACACTACCTCAACAGGTCACCAGAACAACATCCACTGTTTGGCGACTGCGGTGAACCACGTGGCAGCGGCCATGTTCACCGTCCAGAGGAAGAACATCCAGACGCAGATGCAGGAGTTCCTGAAGGTCAAACACTCTCGCGGGCACTAACTGAACACGGCTAGCATGAGGCTAACATGATGATGATGATGATGCTGTTATTGTGTTTGTCCTGTAGGTGGCGTCCTCTGTCCTACTCCAGCTCGGTCAGAATGTGGACAACAGAGAGATCAAGAACAGGGATTCGGTTTATATCCTTCTGCACATGGTAATGATGCTGATCATGAGCCCCAGGGCAGGGTTACAGCAGCTGCGCATGTGTACTGTGTACTACTAAGTCCACACTAGATGCTAGTAACTACTACTGTAGCTCGCGTGTGGCTAAATTAGTGCTTACTTCAGCTGCACCACATGATGTTCTAAAGGCAGAATGTAGTTAGTAGGTCATAAGCTCTTCACACTGAATGATGTAATGCCCAATAAGCGGTTCAGTTGTTAAACGGCTCTAAAATAATTAGCATTTCTATAGTGCTATACATGGGTAGAGGCTGCTGTAAATATGTAGTTGGAATGCAGTGTTATGCTTCAGCTAATATCAGTGGTGCGACACTAAATTATTTCGTGTGTGAGTCGTAACTCAGCGTCCCTTTACCCTAGGCTACGTTTCACTGTACACACTGCTGGTGTAACCGGCGCCAGGAATGAACTATTGAGTAGCGCTGAGCTCAGGATCTGATTGTGTTCTGTTGTTTGTGTCTCAGATCGTGGAGCAGTCGCCGTTCTTGAGTCAGGATATGCTGGAGATGTGTTTTCCCTACGTGCTCCTCAGAAACGCATACAGAGAAGTGCACAAAGTCTTCATCCACACCATGGGCTGAGGCTGGAGGACACAGAGACACCACTGCACTGCCGTTTGCTTCATAGACTAACAGATGAACCCCGTATGCAATATATTTACCATGCAGAGGACAACACCACTGCTTACATCAATCATTCTGCAGCTGTTATCAGGGAGATCACACGTCTCTGGAAGCACTGGCCAGACTCTGATCAGTAGTTTTCATTACGCTGTGTGTGAGGCATGTTTGCTCTTGTTAAACTGCACTGGAGCTCAGTGGCTTCTTCAGAATCCAGATCAAAACTGGACCTTACAGTAAGCCAGATTAGCTGAAGTGAAAAAGAATCAATAAAAGTTATGCATCTTTCATTTTCTGAATACCATAAATGTCTATTACATTAAATCAGCATTTTCAAACCAGTTTCAGCCTAAAATTGACTAAACCAAAGCGAAGTATGTGAGAATGTTCCAAATTTGATGTTGACATCTCAGAAAGAGCTTTCAGTCTGATTGGCAGCTGCAGTGGCAGACATGACCAGCAGTTTCCTTTAGTGCCAAACAAGAGCGCCCCCTATCTGTGTGTGTGTGTTTAAAGTTATATAAAGTGGAAAATAATTGCAGATATAAACATCTTATGTAGTATGGGCAGTTTGATATGAAATAAGCCACACACAACAAAAAAACATTTGAAATAATGTAAATGTGGATTGCTGTAACGAAGTAATGTTTTATAACTGATGAGCGTGCCTGAAGCAAACTAATAACTGTTGCTCAGTAATGTACAGCATCAGTCAGCAGATATAAAGACTGGAAATGTTTACGCTTTTAAATGATGTATAGTTACTCATGTTTGCGGTGTTTAGATTATATTATGGATTAATAGTTTTAGGGTGACAGTAAATGTGTTACTCTTCCTACATAACAGAAAACGCTGGTAAAATGCATTCAGACGTCTTCGAGATTATAGTTTGTCATAATTAGGTTTGTATTAAATTGCAATACAGAGAAGTGAACTTCAGAGGGGCTAAAACACCAATCTCCTCCTGCTTTTACTATTTTTAACCCAATATAGTGCACTCATCGAGATAAACTGGAGAAACCCTGAAGTGTCTTGAACTTTTATGACAAAGAATTAAAATAAATAATGCAACATCACTGAATACGACTCTTCACCTGTTAAAGACAAACACATTACGTTAAAATGAACAGATGATGAAATACCGTCACCGGCGGCACTCAGGAAATGTAGATTTAGCAAATATAAGAGTAAATTGTGAGTCATAAAATTGATCTTGGCAAAACTCTTGCTCATAATTATATATATATATATATATATATATATATATGTGTGTGTGTGTGTGTGTGTGTATAAAAGAGAAGCGACAGCAACACTAACCCCATCTGTGGCATCAGTTTATTGATCAGTCCAGAAGCACAATATTGATGAAGAAAATAAAACATGTGATGTGTGCATGATGAACGCATTAACAGTGGTGAGAACTCTAAATAAACTGGCGTTAACAGCAGCGGCTAAATAAACCATCTATCATGACATTGGCAACAAAGAATAATCTTGATAAAGTAAAGCAACAAGCCCTGACGAGCGGATCATGTGATGATGAGGAGGCGATTCTGACGCTGTTAGCAAGTCTTCATCATTAAGAACTCGATTAATCCTCCGACTAAACCTATGTACATTACATGATTAACGCAGGGGCTCGCTCCACATCAGTGCTTCAATAAGACTCCGCGTTAGTTCACTACAGCCCCACCACATACTCAAAGCCCAATAACAATTATCCAAAAATAAAATTAAGACACCATATCAAATCACGTCAATCTAATCCAACGAGGTCATCATCATATTCACAATGCTCAGCTCACAGATGCGTCCGCCGCGCTCCACATCACTTCTTCTCCTTCTTCTTTTCCTAAAAACACACAAAACCCATCAGACATGGAGGTTGCCAGATTGGCCAGTCTTAAACTCATAACACAAGTGTGGATGTAGCAGAGTCAGGGATCAGCAGCACACATGCTAAAGGTCTGTGTTTGGTTAGGAACACATCAGAACATGACGGCTATCCTGGTAAGATGGTTTTAGATCAGGCATGTCCAAACTCGGTCCTGGAGGGCCGGTGTCCTGCAAAGTTTAATTCCAACCCCAATCAGACACCTCTGGGTAAGCTAATCAAGCCCTTATTAGGCTTTCTGGAAACATCTTTGCAGGAGTGTGGAGGCAAGCTGGAGCTGAAATCTGCAGGACACGGACCCTCCAGGACAGAGTTTGGACACCCCTGCTCTACATCTGATCTTATCATGTAATGAAATCAACTTCACAATAGAAGATTTCACATTAAAACATCAGATATGGGGAGAACATCATTGAACCTGTACATTCCCACATTCAGCATCTTCAGCTCCTCCACTAAACCCGTTCATCAGGATTATACAGGACAGTTCACCCACACATGAAGACTCACCCACATCTGACCTGTTCTAGTCCTGCTCGAGTTTCTTTCTCAAGCAGATATTGTGAAGAATAACATGGAGACTGCGGTTACTGGCGTCCAACATTCTTCAAAATATCTTCTTCAGTGTTCAACAGAATAAAGTCCAACAGGTTAGGAACAAGTGAAGAGTGAGTAGAGGAAGAAAAACATTCAGGTTTGGGTGAACTATCCCGTAATACACACTGCATTAGAGCTGCCCGACAGTGGAAACAGCCATATAGAAACAGCAGCTGTGAGGATGATGATGATGATGATGATGATCAGATACCTTCTCGTTCATGGACAGCAGGATCACCAGCTTTCTGAAGATGGTCACAAAGTCCAAAAACAGATCCACACAATGCCTTCAGGACACACACACACACACACACACACACACACACACACACACACACACATCATCTTTAGTAAGCTTGATAAACAGCTGCAGATCGGTTTCTGCTGGTCACAGTGGTGAACAGTACAGCAGTGTGTGTAAGTGTTCTGTTCTGGGTGTGCGGTGTTCAATATCTGATCACACTATACTCAGTGTTTCCTGCACGTCTTTCATGCACAGTACGAGATCTTCACACTGGTGTAAACACAACTGATCAGCACATCTGTACGCTCACTGTATTTATCACAACACAAGTGTGTTTGACTCCCTCATCTGTCCACTTATAATCTGCACCGTGTCGAGGCACGTCTGACCTGGAGTTTAGAATAAGCGATGTGCAAATATACAGCGATCAACATCTGAAGATAATCAACAGCCTTCATCAGCTCATGGAAAACAGCTCAACACTTCTGATCCAAATGTTGACCGCAGAGTGTATTATTATGATCATTAAACACCAATATTCTGCAAACTTCACCACTGTGTGTGTGTGTGTGTGTGTGTGTGTTACCAGATGTAGTCTTTGTCCCCCATCTCTGCCTTCTCTATGATGAGCTGAGTGTCGAACAGCACAAAGCCACACATGACCAGCAGACCCAGATACAGATGAGCCTGACGGAGAACACACACACACACACACACACACACACAGAGTTATATACACACACAGTTATTAGTTATGATACACTCACACAGTTTCAGCAAGCTTATGACATGATTAGACATCCTGCAGTGTTATTCCAGCAAACGCAGCGGGGCGAGCGGCGCGACTCCAGCGAGTGATTCAGTGTGAATCGAGTGTTTGAGGAGCTTGACACACTTGCTGAGATAAATCTGAACTTTGGCGGTCATTTGCACTGTGTTGACCAGTCTGGAGCTCTCTCGAGTAAAGCTGTGATTGTGACGCGGCGCCTGTAGTGGACATCCCGAGGGGAATCCTCCAGCCGACACACTGAGAGCGGAAGCAGCAGTGTGTATGAGCTCAGACTGCACCTCTGAAGAGCCTGATGGAGCCAGACACGGCGCAGAGCGAATATACACCATCTTTCACACGTCTGCCGTGAAGTCAGTTTCACACGCGACTGAAACAGGTAAACTCAAAATGTTCAAGCGCCCTGACGAGCCGCATCTGCTGCAAACACCCAGTTACACACACACCTTGAAGATGAGGACGGAGCCGAAGAACATGTTGAGGATGGAGACGAGCAGCAGGACCGTTAGACCCGTCATCAGAGTTCCTGAGGAGCAGAAGAACAGTCAGAAACACACACTAACACACACACTCAAGCAGCAAGGGTGTGTGTGTGTGTGTACCTCCAAGGAACAGGTAGCTCCTGCGCTGAGCGTAGAGCGCACTGAGGGTGAAGCAGCTGAAGATGATGGAGGTGCCCAGGAACGCAGTCACGATGATGCTGAACACACACACACACACACACACATTATTGTTATCATCTGCTCACACATCTTGGAATATGCGATAACTGCAGGAGCATGTTTAACAGTGATTATATAATTATCATGTGCACAAACTCAAACACACACACAGGTGTGAAAGCAGGACACATCACATCATCACAGTCTAATACCGAGACAGCGCTGTTACCTGGGGTCAATGCTGATGGCGTAGTCCATGAGCGGCCCGAGTCCCAGACCTGAGCGAGGAGAGGGACAGCAGACGGTCAGCACGGTAAACACTGATATCACCGCAGTAAAACACACACACACACACACACACCTGTGAAGAAGGCGAACGCCGCCAGGATGGCCAGCCTCTTCTTCTCTGTCTGTGGGCTGTGAGGCGTCATGGCCAGCCACGCCATCATGGCCAGAGAGCCCAGCATGGTCAGACCACCCTGAGCAGGACAGCAGCAGCAGAAGAGGAGCGTTCATACGACTATCATTTACATCATATCTGTTTTATTACTTAAATTCATTTTTTTTTTGTATTTATATTATAATTATATTTAATTTTCTTTCTTTTCTTTATTTATTAATACTTATATTGTTATTTTTTACTATATTAATATTATTTTTAAAAGCATTTATATCAATATTGATGATGATTAGTTCTTTATTTAATGTCATGTCCTCAACAATGGCTATTTTCATGGAAAGAACATTTATTAATAAATATACTATTAACACCACAAACAAATGAACACATTAATTAAATACAATTTTTAGCATTAATGATACAAATTCACTTTGCTAAAAATGTCCTGAAGAGAGTTCATTTAATTAAAAAAGTTATTTATTTCAATATTATTTATGTTATTAGACGACACGAACACAGTTCAGACACGAATGCAATTTCACCAAGTGTGTGTGTATGTGTGTGTGTGTGTGTGTGTGTGTGTGTGTGTGTGTGTGTATGTGTGTGTGTGAGTGTGAGTGTGTGTGAGTGTGTGTGTGTGTGTGTGTGTGTGTGTGTGTGTGTGTGTGTGTGTGTGTGTAGTGAGGAGAGCCGTGTTTTGGGCAATGTGTGTGTTAATTTCCGTTATTCACTGTTGATGCTCAATAAATCATCATAGACAGTAGATAGTGTGTGTTTACTTCAATTATTTCAATATCAATTCAATTCAAACTATGAAGACAAAAACATCAAATAAATAAAATAATCGGTATTTAATCGTAATCGAGTTAAATTGTTCAATAATCGAGATTTAGATTTTACCCGCCCTATACATGAGTGTGTGTGTGTGTGTGTGTGTGCGCACACCTGGAAGATTCTGGTGACGACGTAGATGTAGGAGCCGGCCGTGGCCACCAGCATACACACCGCCAGACTGGCATAGACATTCTTCAGGTGCTGCTGAGTGGAGCGCGAGCTGAAACACACACACACACACACACACACACACACAATTATAAATGATTCAAAACATCTAACATATTATTATTATTACATTCACTCATGCATGAACACATAGACACACGTGCACAGAAGCACATAAACCACTCTAACAATCTACTACATGATCAATACATCATTCTCACACACACACACACACACACACACACACACACACACACACACACCTGTACAAACACTTACATCTGAGAGAATTTAAAGAGAGCGTCGAAGTTTATGTTGCGATCAAACACGTTCATTTTGCACTTCTTCACTGATCACAGAATCACCTGCAGGAACACACACACCATCATCATCATCATCATCATCATCATCATCTGAACACCTGTGACTTTACAGTCTGTGCAGCTCTATTGGGAAAGATTTCATGAATTTAGCTTGACTGAGGTGATCGAGCATTTTTAACAGGTAAATGAGCACAAATAAAAGCTGAATAAACTGTGCATTATGGGGTTTCTGGAGAGAATAACAGTATTCAAATGCAATTAAATGTAAAAATAACATGGTCATCGTAGCATAAATACGTTTATTCTATAACAAAGAAAACAATTTAATAATACCTTAATCTGTTACTCTTAAATAAACAATCTAATCTTGCGATGTGCCTATTGTGGATACACAACTGCGATATCCATGCTCAAACCATATATACTGTTCAGCCCTAGTGGGTGGGCGGGGTTTATTTTAGAGCCCCGCCTCTCAATTTTTAGTGGATTAAAAGAATGTAATATTGCTAATTATTTGAGTTTTTTTGTTTAAAATAAAAGAAAAAAATATATATATAAATACACAATAGAGCAATTCCAGTGTATGGTTGTGACATTTGCAGTAAACATTTGCTCTCGACAGAACAATCAGGATTGATTTTATTTGACATGTTTATATTTATGAGGAAAAAAGCTCTGATGTGACGTCTGTCTGTTATGGATGTGACTGATGTGAATCTGCCTCTTGTGTGACTCTGGTGAATCAAATATATACATTTACTCAGATGTTTGAGTATTTTACAGTCCTGAAAAACACAAGCCTACACAAAAACATGTAAAGGGATTCGCTACTTTGGTAAAAATGTTGTTTTTTTCATGGCAAGGCTGACATTTGGATGGAATCACTCAATAATCAAAATCAGGACAAGGAGCGCTGTTAAACACCATATACAGCAGGACAGCTGAGGCCTGCAGCGCGATGCGGCTCAACAAACCCAGGAACACAGGACTCATCTGGGTAGACAACAACAGCAGACATCATCCTCACACACCACCTCTTAGATTAAACGTAATGAAAGGCTCAGAGTTCACACACACACACACACACACACACACACACACACACACACAGAGAGAGAGAGACCGCTGTTCATCTGGACTTTCACCTGGACTACAGCACAGAAACACACTTTAACCCACACACACACACACACACACACACACACACACACACACACACACACACACCTGTCAGAAGAGTTTCAGAGCGCAGTTATTAGCATATCCCTGATCAGCAGAGACAAAGTCAAGCTCAGATACACAACACACACACACACACACACACACACACACACACACACACACACACACATCAAATGAACACGCAGTTCTGATCAAACTAAAACTGAAACTAAACAGAGCTGTGTTCACCACACTACAGGCAAACTAACACTAACTACACCATTAATAACACACCAACAACCACTGATGCACAGCACATTTCAGAATTTTAAATAATTACTAATAATAACAATGACAAAAATACACCCCCCCAACACACACACACACACACACACACACACAAATCAGTCTCTGACGCACACTCAAATTCTGTCTAACACACACATTTTCACTCACACTCAACTCAATCTCTCTTTCACACACAAAAAAACACACACACACACACACACACACACACACACACACACACACACACACACACACACACACACAGATTAATAACAAACAGGAAAACCCTCACACACCTACACACGGAAACAACATTTCGCTCTCTCACACACTCACAAACAAACACACAAACAACCGCACACAGCGAACGTAATCGAAGGGAAAGTTCAGCTCCAGCTCGACAATCCCCGTTTAATAAAAGACACGCAACCCTCCGTTATACATAACACCTAGTCAGTCGGTCAGTTGGTTAATTAGTTAGCTAGCCAGCTAGTCAGGCAGCAGTGGTCGGTTACCGTCAGCTAGGCAGCAGCGGCAGTATTAGTGGTTGTGGTCGTGACGTGAGTTCTTATCCGCGGTTTGTTTACGCGCTCCTCGGTCGTCGTGTAACGGCCGCTGGTCAAATCTTCTTCATTAGTGTAATTAGAAGCTTAATGTGCGAGTGTGATGATGATTTCATTACCATAAGCCGTCAATCGCGTCTCTTCCCGTCTGTGTGTTTCTGAAGGCCTGAGTTTGGGTTCAACGCCTCTCTCGCACGTCAGGCAACGCGATGACGTCACTGGCGTCACGCGCTCGCTCTTCTTCGTGTGCTTTTAAGTGCACTTGTTAGTGAGGTTTGGCCTCTGCTGGAGCGGAGATGTGTAAATCGCTCAGTCATCGAGTGCATGAAACTCTGTTCACTTGGGATGAGGAAACACCATCACTGTAAAGTGAATTAAAATAATTAAACAAATAAAATATGTAAAGTACAACACCTGAGGAATATAAAGACGCACTTTCATATAGGCTATAACATCACTCATAGTTCAAAAATAGGTTTGCGTTCTCAATTAATGAAAGCAAATTCATAAAATCAAGCCTTTGCTATTGTGCTGAAATAAGCATTTCTACATGGGCGTATTTGTATGACAGGCCTGTAGTGTTTTCCACAATATTATTACAGCAGCCTATACGTACATTCTGCATCTCTAACCTATTAATTTCCTAAAACTAAACGTTTAATATCAAAAACAAAACAAATGATGAGCACTGTCTTCATCTCACCTGTTTCTTTACCTGTTTCGTGAATCATACATTCAGCTTCAGTTAAGTTCAATAAGTCCAGTTTTCATGTTTACTTTGCTAAGCTAAATTAACATTAGCATGACGCATCTGTTTTCTGCATTATCAGTGATGATATACTCATGATGCAGTGTGTCTCTGTGTTCGGCTCAGCTCTGCTCCAGTGGCTGTAAAAGCCAGAACAATCTGTACAGCACTGATAGAGAAAGCATGTGACTTGCTGCAGGTGATGTCACTTCCTATGGCAGGAAACTCCGGAAGACATTGAGGTGTGTCATTATTCTGCTCTCATTGATTTGTTACCATCAACTCTGTTATCTTCAACTCTGTCAGTCAACTATGTTACCGTCGACTCTTTCCGTTGACTGTTATCTTCAACTCTGTTATCATCAACTTTGTTGTCATCGACTCTGTTATCGTTGATTCTGTTACTGTCAATCCTGTTACCGTCGACTGTCATCCTCAACTATGTCATTCTCGACTCTGTTACCCTCGACTCTGTCATCTTCAACTATGTCATCATCAACTCTGTTATCATCGACTCTGTTGTTGTTGACTCTGTTACAGTCTACTCTGTTCTGTTACCGTCAACTCTGTTACTCTTACCTCTGTTACCGTCCACTCGGTCTACCATCAACTTTGTAATTGTCAATACTGGCATCGTCAACTATGTTACTGTCAACTATAATACCGTTGACTCTGTTACTGTTGACTCTGATACCATCAACTCTGCCGTTGTCAACTATGTTATTGTCGACTCTGTTACTGTTAACTCTGTTATCCTCAACTTTGTTGTCGTTGACTGTTATTGTCGACTCTGTTACTGTCAATTCTGTTACTGTCGACTCTGTCATCCTCAACTCTGTCATTGTCGACTCTGTTATCATCAACCGTGTTTCCGCCAACTCTGTTACAGTCGACTTTGTTATCGTCAGCTCGGGTGCTTACAGCTGTGCTATAGTTTACTCTGTTATTGTCAATAGAGTCTAATGCTCCCTATCAGATGTAAGCGTTTTGCATTATTTTACATTATAATGGATTCAGTTAACTGTAAAAATTATACATTAATGGTCTATCATCCCAGTTTAGAGGAGATGAATGGAAACGGCTTTAAATGTTCCTGCAGTTCAGGAATGAGTCACATGACACGAGGCGGAGTATAACCATATATCTGCAGCTTAGCAAATCTCATTATCACACACATAGTGTCTGATGCTGATCAGTGCAAAACAGCTCGCATTTGTCACATTCTAAATCCCCCTGTGCCTGTTTTAACCTAAATGTGCAACAGTGAGTCATGCTCAGAGATGTTATTGAGTATTATAAAAGCCACTGGAGTCTGTTAGTGAGTGACCTGAAGGAAGGAGAAGAGAATGAAAACACTAAATACAAACTTTTTTATTTTTTCCCTTAAAAAGTCCCACAAAAAACGTACAGTGTAACACATCCACACTTGTACAATGATGATGAAAGGTTAAAAACTCCTCATTGAATTAGTGAGAGTAAATGATGAACATCTCCATCTGCCTATATCTGAGTTTCAGAACAAGCCTTTCTGCTTCTTCATCCGGGCCTGCTTCCACTGCGGCAAACAGCTGAACGCCTCCTTAGAGATCCCGAACACTGCCTGGAAATCTGCCTCCGAGAGGTGCTTCTGGAAGACCAATAATAACAATAATGAGGACAATGTTTGCATGAGCTGGTGGGAATAATATAATGAGTGGAACAAACATGTATCATCACACATTTATTCAAATGCTGTAGTCAAATCAGCTGCGTATGGCGGACACGCGAGTGCATCATGAACAGCAGCGTCTATAATGTCAGGAATTTACTGCTTATCTGAACACACACACACTCACACACACACACACCACACTGAAGACCATCGTCAGATTTATTAAAATACTCTGCTGTTTTTGAACATTACTTTAGGAAGGTGTACTCTTGGATAAAAGCATCTGCTAAATGAGTAATCGTAATAGAATGTAATAAATACTGTAGTACAGTTTAGATTTTACTACAGTAAACTGTGGTTTATTTTAGCATATTACACTATATTTGTGTGTTACCATAGCGACTGTGGAATCAACAAAGCAGATCAATTACTGTTGCTGTTGTGTTACCATAGCAACTGTAGAATCACCACAGCAGATCAATTACTGTAGTTGCTGTGTTACCATAGCAACTGTAGAATCACCACAGCAGATTAATTACTGTTGCTGTTGTGTTACCATAGCGACTGTAGAATCACCACAGCAGATTAATTACTGTTGTTGTTGTGTTACCATAGCGACTGTAGAATCACCACAGCAGATTAATTACTGTTGCTGTTGTGTTACCATAGCAACTGTAGAATCACCACAGCAGATTAATTACTGTTGCTGTTGTGTTACCATAGCAACTGTAGAATCACCACAGCAGATCAATTACTGTAGTTGTTGTGTTACCATAGCAACTGTAGAATCACCACAGCAGATTAATTACTGTTGTTGTGTTACCATAGCGACTGTAGAATCACCACAGCAGAGTAATTCAGGCTGTTTGCTGTAGTGTGGCTGAACACCACTGCAGTGTGTCCTGTCAGGTACTCTGTAGTGTTTTTCATGAAGGCTGTAGCTCTACTTATATAGACACATTACACACTCGTAAAACAATCAAACTGGTCTCATGAACAGCGCGTTTCCTCAAATGACTCATGACACACTCCTGCATATATTTCCAAGGCAAAACTGGCACATATTGTCCTGGTCTCCTTGAGCGGTTTACATGGAACTGTGCAGTGAATCAGTATGGAGGACTCAGTACAGGCAGAGCGTGTGCAATTATAGACTTATGCATTCCATTACTCTGCTTGTTTTAATGAGAAACTCTCTTCATTTGGACTCATCACTTCTGAAAACAACACTATATGCTTCACTCCTCTAGAAAATGCTGCTTGATGAGAGAATTGTTTGGACTGGAAGCAAGACTACACCTCAGAGTAAGAGCAGCGTGTGTCTCAGTGCACAGACAGCATGAGTGTGTGTGTGTGTGTGTGTGTGTGTGTGTGTGGTTCACCTCTCTCTGTGCTGGATCCACATCTTTGGGCAGATCTTCAGTGCTCTTGTTCACCAGCAGCGCCGCTGGATACTCAGAGATGATGTTATTCTCTGGAGCATCGGAGATCTGCACATTAACACACACTTCAGCTCAAACACTCACTACAGCAGCACATGGCAAACACTTTAGATGATTATGCCTATTATTAAGAGATGACCTGTTCATATATAAAGCATGATCTTATTCTGCATCCTAGCCAACATCTAAACCCAACTTCTACCTTACTAACTGTTAATAGGCAGCCAATTAGTCTTTAATTGAGTTAGTAGTGTTGGTTAATGGATTGTTAACACTGTGAATATTGAATTTTAATGAAGTGTTTCTCCGCTGTGTGGTGTAATAGTGAACAGAAGAGCGTACGTATTGAATGGTGCTCGGCAGCGTCACATCTCCCAGCTCCTGCTTCAGCTGCTCGTACGTTTTTCCTCCCTAGATAGAGAAAGAGGTAGTAAAAGTCAACAACACATGCCTAATTTAACCTAATTTAATAAGTTAATCAGCTTTCCACTACAATGTTTCAGTTACACAAAGATTAATGATGTTTGACTAGAAAAATAAGTCAGATTCAGAGAGCTGGAGAACATTATCTGTGTGTATTGTCAGCTCAAACACACACACACTACACACAGCAGGGACGCATTTCCAGCTTGTGTAAAGGCTCAGAACAGCTGTTCTTCAGACGTGCAGCGCGGGCTCCAGGACTGAGGAACACTACACTACAGCAGCACACGTACACTCCACTTGCTAGGGTCCCAGGCAGTGAACCAGCCGGTGAATGTGGGTGGCTCGAAGCCCTGCTTGATGATGACAATGGGGGTGTCGGGGTCTCTGGAGCCGGGGTGTGTCCGCAGGTACTCGGCACAGGTAGGCACACACTCGCGCCGCTCCACATCATTGGCCTCATTCCCCATCCAGAGGAATATCTGCAGGAGAGAGAGCCGTGACAGCACGAAGGTCAGCTTCACATCAACACAACCATGTTTCCACTAGTGCTGGCCAAAAACACCATCAACATTGATGGCATCCCAAATAAAGGTGTGTTTTGACATATTTCAAGTGTGTGTGTTGCATATATTTAATATATATATATATATATATATATATATATAGAGTTGAAGTCAGAATCATTCTAAGTATGTTTCTTCCCCAATTTCTGTTTAACAGAGAGATTCAGCACATCTCTAATCATGATAGTGTTAATAACTCATCTCTGATAACTGATGTGTTTCCTCTTGGTCATGATGACAGTAACTAATATTAGACTAGATATTCTTCCAGACACTAGTGTTCAGCTTAAAGTGACGTTTAAAGGCTTCACTAGGGTAATTAGGGTAAAGTTAGGGTAATTAGGGTCAGAGGGAATCTGCAGACTTTTTTTGTTATTTTTTGAAAGTTTTGGGAGTCATTCATTCATTCATTCATTCATTCATTCATTTTCTTGTCGGCTTAGTCCCTTTATTAATCCGGGGTCGCCACAGCGGAATGAACTGCCAACTTATCCAGCAAGTTATTACGCAGCGGATGCCCTTTCAGCCACAACCCATCTCTGGGAAACACCCACACACACACATTCACACACACACTCATACACTATGGACAATTTAGCCTACCCAATTCACCTGTACCGCATGTGTTTGGACTGTGGGGGAAACCGGAGCACCCGGAGGAAACCCACTCAAAGGCAGGGAGAACATGCAAACTCCACACAGAAACACCAACTGAGCCGAGGTTCGAACCAGCGACCTTCTTGCTGTGAGGCGACAGCACTACCTACTGCGCCACTGCCTCGAGTTTTGGGAGTATCATAACCTAAACTTTAATTTATGAACTAAAAAGTAATACCTCTTTAACTTGTATTTAATGTTTACAACGCAAGTCCAATTAGATCCACTCTATTTGGTAAACAAGTCTGTCATATAGTATCTCTACTAAAAGACAGAACATTTCACTGTACAAACTTTATTGTAAATGAATTATATGAACATTTTCATATTAGTCAATAATTATATTGAAATTAATTTAAAAACTGAATAAATTTATTTTTTATATTAATTTTTACACATTTACTTGAGTAAATAAACAGAATCATTGATGAGGTAAAAAGGATTCTGCACGCGCAGATTCAGTGTGGGACTAGTCATTAGGCAAGTCATTGTATAACAGTGGTTTGTTCTGGAGACAATCCAACACTAATATTGCTGAAAGAGCCAATAATATTGAGCTTAACATGGGCTTAAAACAAATAAAAACTGATTTTATTCTAGCCCAAATAAAACAAATTAGACTTTCTCCAGAACTACAAATATTAGAGGAAATACTGTGAACAACTGCTGAATCTGAGAAACATCATCTGGGAAATATTTGAAAAAAAATTATATATATATATGAATGTAAATGATTTTGATTTCATCTGTTTAATACACACACATATATTATGTCAAAACTATTTTTTATTTTGGATGTGACTAATTTTTGCCCTATTTCCAATCCCTTTCTCAGTTGTTTGTGATTTTAGTTTACAGTACTATAAAAAGTACTCATGGCTGGTTGAGCTCTACCTGGTCCCAGGTGTCCAGCAGCATGACGTCGTCCTCCCGCAGGTCGTCCTGTGTGAACTGCGTGACCTCAGTGGCTGTGAAGCGTCCCGTCTTATTGGAGCACTCGAAGAGACGCGGCTGGTGCTCCAGAGTCACCTGCTGCAAACTGAAGAGCAGAGCGCAGGTGTGTGTTACTCAGATTGACCCCGCTCTGGCTCTGTAGCGGCTGTTTGTGCTCCATTATAAAGACATTTACATTGACAGCAGATAATCATGCATTACTGAGTGTTGCTGATTTCCCTGTTGGGGAGAGGGACAGTGTGTCGTATTTACTGTTGATTTAGGTGTGTGTGTGTGTGTGTGTGTGTGTGTGTGTGTGTGTGTGTGTGTGTGTGTGTGTGTGTGTGTGTGTGTGTGTTTTACCGTCGGTCGCTGGCGTATGGCGTTCGTCCACCCAGACTCTGCCAGAACTCCTCCGGCTCCTGACCCTCCGCCATCACCTGCTCTGAGCGACCCATGATCACACTCAGATCCTTCGCCATCGCACGCTCGTCCCCGCTGGAGCCCTGAGACACACACACACACACACACACACACACACACACACACACACACATTCAGCAGCAGCTCATCATCGCTGCAGTGTTCAGTGTTATAGTCTCTCCTCTCTGTCTGTGGAACGATGTCGTACTTTCCCGTACCACAGGTAAACTCCGCTCTGGCTCTTCAGCAGGAACACGTCGTTGGAGTTGAGCGACGCCGCCAGCGCTGGAACCTCCACGGCGCGAGTGCTGGATGGGTGCGAGCCGCAGATCTGGAACAGCCGGACGGGCGGCTCTGGCTCCACTGGGCCCTTACGGGACGTCCCACCCTGAGCAGAGGAACACAACAACAGAGTAACCCTGAGGGAAACACCCACACACGTGCGGGAAGACTCCATTAAGAGCAAATTCCAGATGTGCTGTGATTGAGTTGAAGTGTCTGCAGTACAGCTGTGGCAGTCTCAGCTGAAGCATCTACAGTCTGTCTGTGATAGTCTAGGTTGAATCGGATGCAGTATGGCTGTGATAGACCCAGCTGAAGCGCCTGCAGTATGGCTGTACCTCATAGATCACCATCTTGCCCTTGAAGATGGAGGTGAAGTGTCGTGGCTCCTTCCCCATGGTGACGGACACCTGCACCGGCTGACCTCCGTACTGCTGATCCACCGTCACCGCATGATACGCACACGCCGTCACTTCATCCTGAGACGCATGCCGGCCCTGAGGACGACACAGCACAGTCGATCTGGGTCAGTCTGAGTCATTCAGAGTCAATCTGAGTCAATCTAGAGTCAATTTGAGACATTCTGAGGCAATCTGAGTCAATCTAGAGTCAGTTTGAGTCATTCAGAGTCAATCTGAGTCATTCTGAGTCAACCTGAGTCATTTGGAGTCAATTTGAGTCAATCTAGCGTCAATCTGAGTCAATCAGAGTCATTGTGAGTAACTCTGGTCAGCAGTAATGAAGGGAACAGGCCGCTTTACCCTCCACATGTAGAGGATGTAGTTTTTCCTGCCGTTGACCTCGTAGCTGTAGAGAATCAGATAGCAGTCTCCTCCATAGAAAAACCCGTGTGTAGCTTTGCTGACCTCCGCCAGCTCCAGGTTCTCGATACGCCACACCTGCACATGAAGAGACAGTGTGGATGATCCATATTCACACTTTTAGGAACCGTCTCTAAAGTCACACATGTCATCGGTACACACTTTTCTAAGCATGTGCACTAGCTGAGGATGATACCATGAGCTGCTGAATGCGGGGGCCAATGATACGATACATTAATGACACAGAGGAAGCAGCCACCACCAGTTACTGAATATTAAAAATGTTCAAGGTCAGCATAATATTTGATCCCTACGTGAGCAGAGTTCTGAAAGTGTTTACAACTGATTTCAGCACACTCTGTCTCTCTCTCACCTGTTTCTCCCCGCTGCCGTCGTCCACCATGCGCTCCTGCGCCGCCACCTCCGGCATCATGTGCATCCGGCTGGCATCAAACTTCTCCTGAGGAACATCAGCTGAGACACACACAAACACACACTCAGATTAATAAACATAGATGTGTGTGTGTGTGTGTGTGTGTGTGTGTGTGTGTGTGTGTGTGTGTTTGTGTGTGTGTGTGTGTGTGTGAGTGTGTGCGTGCATGCACCGATTTTTCCAACAGTGTGTGTGCGGCCCAGGCCCTGCGTCTGGTCTTTGACTGTCCAGTTCTTGAAGAGCTGCTTGAACAGAGCTGATTCTCCTCCGTCACAGATGGACTCCACTTTGGTGCTGAGCGGGTAATTCTTCAGCTTGATGAACTCCTAAAGTCAGATAACACAATAATGACTGATATCGACTGAAAGTGGTTTATAATAATCCCACAATGGGTTCCGAGTAGTCCACATCAAGCAGTGCTGGGAACGTTCACTCTAAAAGTCATATATTACCATCCTGTGTTACTCAGTGACGTCTTAAGTAGTCATGAGTTATGTTAGGTTTAAAATAAGGTTGAGCTCATTTTATTGAAAATGAAAAGGTAACTCTGATTACACAACATTTATAAGCGTATACTGGATCTGATCAGGTCATTCTGATGGAAAGTCAACACTTGAATGTCTCCTTTTTGATCATGGTATTACTGCATTTGTTATTTAAAAAAAATTGCAAACAGTAAAACTTAAACAATTCAGTAAAATGGGCTGAACAGAACTTCAAATTTTGCACTTTGTTCCTGTCACTTAAAAATGAGTTAATTTAACTTAAGTACCATAAAAATGCATAAACTTAAAATTTCAAGTGTAGTGACCCCAAAATCACAATTAATCCTTTGAAAAAAAAAGTAGGTCATTTTCACAAATGTAACCTTGACTAAAATTCTAATAAAAATTCTAAATTTTAAAATCAGAAAACAAACGGCTTCAGGTGTAATTATCCATCATAATGTGAATAAATAGCTTATTCTTACCACTAGTTTGGTGAACTGAACAATTTAAGTATAATCTACACCATCGGCAAGTTAAATCAATTTAAATATGCACGTTTTGGGAGACTCCATTACTCAATTAAATTGAGGCAACTGGTTGACTTAATTCATTTAGTTCAGTCAACTTATTAGGGTTTTCAGTGCACATATGCACAGTAGTAAAGCACTGGGAAGAGTTGCTGCATCTCCTCCAGCAGGGGCTCACCAGAGCTCGGGTCATCGCTGCTTGTCTCTCCGCCTTATTGGCCATCTTTCCCTTCCACACGAAGATGGACACGCCCCCCTGGTCCAAGATGTAGCAGTCCTCCAAAAACAAAGCAAACCACAGTGAATAAACAGTCCGACAACTGCAGAGCATGCTCACATCATCAACAACACTGCTACACTTCATTTTAGTTTTGCATTTGTCACTCTGGATCAGTCATTTCTGTTCTCGATATACAGCTGACTGCGTCTCAGCGTTGACCATCTGAACTTTAATAAATCTCCATTCTGATTCGGATGGTACACACCACATGAACTAGGCTTTTGGCAAATGTATGGTTTAGACTGAGAGAAACAGAGAGGGCGCACTCACGTCATGATTCAGCAGGTCCTGGGTTAGTGGACTGGTTGCGATCTCGGTGATCTGCATCGTCCCGTTGGCATCTGACACACTGCACAGCAGGACCATTGTTAGATTAGGCCGGATCTTACACCAGCACCAGTATACATCACAGATAGTCCAGTTAGCCGAGGGCACTCACTGGTAGAGGGTGAGTTTGGCCATCTGCTCGCGGTCAGTGACGTCGTCCGGCGTGCCGCTGGGTAGGGTCGAGGGTCGCTCTCCCAGAATGCTCAGCATCACCTGCATCAGCAGCGGAGCGGCGGCCTCCGCATCGCCCTCAATCACCCCGATCTCTGCCCGCCCGCCGCGCTCTCGGTCCCGGATATCCTTGGCCAGCATCATGCCCTTTAGTCAGATTCACCAGAGGATCAACAGTACTGTTAGCACAGGCTCCACTGGACACATGCTGGAAACACACTGCTGCAATCATCTTCACATCCCCACACACACACTGAATGCCTCCTCAATTGTAAGTAACTTGGACAAAATCATCTGCTAAAGGACTAAATGTAAATGTTAATCAAACATGCACAATGTGTTTCAGCCCGGCCGATCATTTCCACCTCCTGCACCACATTGTTTAAATAGAAATTGCATTGATTTCACTCTTATATGTGCGTTAGGTGTGGAAACATGATGTTGGGGGTCTGTGGAGCGACTGAACTCTGAGGAGTGTGTGCAGGAGTCAGTAAAGGCAGAGCTGAAGCGCCCAGAGTTTCAGGGATACACTAGATCTGGAGATGCCGACCTTCAGACGCTCCTGTGTGTTGCTTTCCGGCCCGTTCCACTGGATAATGGTCTTTCCCAGATCCAGCAGAAACACACTGCCTGTGTCGAAGCTCTTCCAGCTCACCTCCACCTGAAGATTAAACACACAACTGGACCATTATACTGTGAGAAACACTGCCTGAACAGCCCACTGCATCTCACATGAGGAGTCTGCTTCAAGGTCTACAGGAAAGCTTGATGACAGACTCAGCTTGATGAATGTATTTGAGAAGCATCAGCCTGAAGTCAGCACATCAGAGCGGGTGTATGGTCTATAAGATGATGGCGTCCCTCACCTCTGTGCCGGTCACTTTCCTGCGTCCCTTCACGTGCAGCAGTCTCTGGATGTTATAAGTGTTGGTCTCCACATGGTTCATCCCTGAAGCCACTCCACCTGACTTATAGCTGCAGGACATGCGAAGATGTGTGTGTGAGATTCTCTCATCCTCATGGATGAAGCATGGATGAAGCACTTTGAGCTTAGCTTAGCATAGATCATTGAATCTGATTAGACCGTTAGCTACTCGCCTCAAATATTACCAAAGAGTTTAGACAATTTTCTATTAAAACTGAACTCCTCTGTAGTTACATTCTGTACTGAGACCAATAGACAATGTAAATATTATTATATTGGCCGTTACGGCTTGAGGAACTATACTCTTATTCTGGTGTAATGATCAGGAAACTTTACAGCTGTACTATGGCTGCAGCAGCGCAATGATATTACACAAGCTGATCTCTAGTTAGCTAGCTGGGCACTATTTTCATATTTCCTCGCCATATCGGCCTGGGAAATAACCATTCCTCTTTCTTCATCAGTCTTGGTGCACCACAGAAGGGTCAAGCTTTAAACCAGGGGTCACCAATCTCGTCCTGGAGGCATACCTGCCAACACTCCAGTTTCTCCCGGGAGTCTCCCGTATTTCTGATCCATCTCCCGTTTTGTTCTGTCTCCCAGAAAACTTCCAGAATTTCACCCCCAGCTTTTTTGATGCAGTCCCCGGATCGCCGACCCTGGTAGTACAGACCATGGACACAACCCACCTGTCTCCTGGATTTTCAGAGACAAATGTTGTCAGGTATGCCTGGAGGGCCGGTGTCCCTGCAGAGTTTAGCTCCAACTTGCCTCAGCACACCTGCCTGGATGTTTCAAGTATGCCTAGTAAGACCTTGACTAGCTTGTTCAGGTGTGTTTGATTAGAGTTGGAGCTAAAATCTGCAAGACACCGGCCCTCCTAGTGCAACTCGGTGACCACTGCTTTAAACAGTACAGTTATTCAATATTTTGAGTGACATGCTAATGCTCTAATCGCGTTTGATGATCTTTGCTAAGCTAAGCTAAAAGGCTCCTCCAAACGTGGAGATTAAATGTGTTAAGATAAATGTAACTCTATGAGGGCAGTAAATAATTCTAGAGGAACTAAAGTGTTCCTTTAGGCCAGTGGTTCTCAATTCCTTTGCATGTCTTCCTTATTAACACACCTGATCCAGATCTTCAGCTTGTTAACAGAGAGATCCTTGAACTGATCCTAGTGTGTTGAATAAGAGAGACATACACAGGGCGGGAAGTCCCGAGGACTAGAATTGGGAACCACTGCGTTAGGTCATGGTGTGTTCCATAAGGCTGTGGGTGTGTTATTCAGAGGTTTACATGATGCCCTGTTTGAAGTATCCGCAGAACATGCTGGACTCGTGCTGCTGGACCTCGCGGTGCTGCACCGGTGTGGAGCCCAGGAACTCGTCCAGCTGGACGGCGTACATCGCTGCGGCGCCCTGCTCATCTATTGACGATGCAGAGCCGATCCAGTAATGGATGTCATAAGATATCGTTTTGCCAGATTTGCATGTCTGCAAGCGGAAGGCAGGAGAGGAAGAACACATGCATTTATGATGTTGTACAGGGATTATTATAATGCATCCACAATATGTCTAAGGTTTCAGAAGTAGAACTTACTGAGAGCAACAGGTAGCAGTCTCCATCAAAAAACTGTCCATGAAACTTTTCTGGGATCAAAACCAGATCCATCTTCTGCAGAAAAAACAATGTGAAACCTCTGTCAGCCTGAGAGCCTGTCCACAATCTGCCTCTAACACTGTGATTACAGGACTAATATGGCCTGCATTCAGTATCTCATGTCATCTCTTCACTTCAGTCTCATTCATCATTCATTCCTCAACTGAAACATGTAAATACACACCGGAGATGTTTCCTCTGAGAAAAGAAAACACACTAGTTCTGTCAGAACTCATTTACTATTTTCAAAGCACAATCTTTACAAATACAGTTGCAATCAAAATGAATCCACCCAGAGCGTCATTAGCCTGGTTTCCATCCTAATGTGCGGAAAATCTTTTCATAGTTTCCAAAAAAACCCAAATGCAAATTAGGTGCATTTCCATCCAGCTGTTAGAGCGGCTGACTGTAGCACCGGCCACCAGGCAACCAACAGGAAACAAAGCGTGATGGTGTCCTGTGGGTGTGATGATTATATCAGGTGCATTCCTCATTTCACAATATTCACATCAATCCTTTTCCTCAAAAGAGGGAGGGAGTGGACCCAGACCCCAACCAGGACAAGGGATCATGGTGAAGGCAGTGGCAGAAGAGCCAAGGTGGAGATAGAGATGAAGACACCCAGGTGGGAGGGTGGAGGGTTGTCAATGGAGATGAAGCCAATGGTGGCGGAGCCCAAGGTGGAGATACAAAGGGGTTGGGAGGCCCAAGGTGATGCTGGTGACTAAGTCTAGAAGACTCAAAGAGTAACTGAGGACCAAGTAGGAGCTGACGGGCAGGAGGATTCCAATGGGGGACAGAATAATCTGGTGCAGTTAGAGATGTTGTAACAACTAATCAAGAAATTGGAGGATCAAGGGAGCCCAGTAGAGCTGGAGAGATGATGGAGTCAAGGGAGCATTGAGCCAAGGTGGAGATGATGGGTCTACAGATAGAGCTGGTGGGATGGAGGAATCCAATGGAGACCAATTGAGTCAAAGGAGTGGAGTTCCAAGATAGAGACGAAATGACAGCTTACCAAGGTGGAATCAGAGAAATGAGGAAACCTGATGGACCACAGTGGACACAAGGGAGCCGAGCAGGGCTAATAGGATGGAGTAGCCCAACGGAGAGCATTAAGTTAAGAGAGTCCCAATGTGGAGATGGGATGATGACTTACCAAGGTGCAATCAGTGAAATGAGGGAACCCAATTGACCATGATAAGGGAGCATTATGCAAAGGGGTTGGCAAAGGGTCTGCAGGTAGAGCAAGGGGACAGAGGAGCCCAATAGGGCCCAAAAGAGCCAGAGGCATGATGTGCAGTCGGATGGGTGGAGTCCTGAGGTGGTGATGGGATGATGTCCTACCATGGTGGATTCACAAGAGAGACAAGGGGCATGCACCCAAGGTAGAAAAGATGGGTCTGCAGGTGGTGTCAGCAGCTTGAAGGATAAAGGCAGAGACTGTGGGTCTTCAAAACAGCATGGATCTGGTCCCTGGAAGTCTCGCTATGATTTCTCACCACCAGAGGGAGAGGTCTAAGAGTGAGACTGTGATGGGGAATAACATGAGAAAAGGGGGGAGATGGAGGTTGGGTGGGGATATTTACAGCTGACCAAAAAAAAGAAGGATAAGGAGCTGGATAGGACCAGTGGAGATGGGGAAAACCCACAATTCTAACCCTCATAACAATGCAACATAGCCTGAGAATAGTTCCCAGAGTTTGACTGCAGCTCAGCCTCAACAGTGCGAGTCTGAGCCCTCCTGTCCTCATGCTCCACAACCACACTGTCAGGTGTGCCTCGAGGCTTTGATGATCCACCCTGTCACTCGTGTTGGCAATCACTGATCACTGAGTCAAAATTACCTTGAGGATCTTCCCTAGACAGTTTAGCCATGATCATGGAGTTAATTCAGTGTATAAGAACTTGTAAAGACAGCTGTCTACGAGTCAGGAAGACTCGAGGAATCGACTGAGGAGTTGATCTGCTGGCACCATGACAGCAAAAGAGAAGAAAAAGGCTTCAGAAATGTTTGTCTTTGAGCTCTGTTTTCTGTCATACAAGAATATCCTGTTCAGTCCTAGAGCATTCAGCAAATCCAACTGAAGAGCACACACACACACACACACACACACACACACACACACACACACACATTAACACAGGCAAGACCAGAGAATGATGAAACTGAAGGACTTAAATGTAAAAGATAATGACAGTTTAAATAAATCGAGTGTCCAACTGATGATGGGAAACAAGACAAATGAACTCAGGACAGACACGTGATACAGAGACTGCAGTGGAATCTTTTCTGAATATCAAGAGTTTCAAGATGCTCACATACAGAATGGCCACATGCTCTGCTCTTATACTTTCACTTATTTCTGCAACTCTACATTCCATCCAGAAGCCTTCGGTCAGACAGTGAGCTCCGGCTCGCGGTTCCCTCACAGAAACACTGAAAACCATTTTCCAGAACCTTTACATTCACTGTTCCTCACTGGTGGAATGATCTCCTCGAACCCACACAGACTACAGAATCTCTGACAATCTTCAAATAGCTCATTTTAACTTGTGTAATAAAGCACTTACATTTCTTACTGCCTCCCTACTCTAGGTTGAATGTTGCTAACAAAATCAGGAGTTTTGTGTTAGCGGTCTCTCTTGAAGCCGCCGCTCTGTGAGTCACTTTAGTTAAAAGTGTCTAGTAAATGACCAAAGGTAAAGAGCTGTGATAATATCAAATGAAAGATTTTCTATCAAGTGTAACTTGTGGGTTGAATAATTCTGACGGTTTACTTTGCTTCATCTTTAAGTCCTCAGAGTGCTTCATTTATACTGATCATCTTTTCTTAATAGTTTTCCTAAAGTTTGTTGACAGCAGCAGAATGTCTTGAAGATCAGGGGGGTGAAAACGTTTGATTGCAACTGTAGAATGATTGAAAATAAGAAGTTTAACAATGAAAAAACACTACTAAATACCAACACAATGTGTTAAATCCCAGAAGCACCACATGTATCTACATAACCAGAGTTATTGTTCATAAATGAGTGTGTGATCAGCCTACCTCGATCCTCCAGATGAGGACTCCTGCAGAGTTTGTGACGGCGCGGAACGTGTTCTGCATGATTCAGCGGCGTGTGCGAGACTGAAAGCAGAATTCAGCTTTAAACCAACACTTTTACACCTTCACTAACAGTACCTGTCTCTCTTTAACAACAGCTGTTGATGGAGCAGCTCTACTGTCACCAGAGCACACGTCTGAGTACCTGTAGGTCTGAGCAGATGTTTCTCCACAGATGGAAAGGTCTGATGTGCGGAGCTCTGGGGGTTTTCTCTGAAGCCAAAGCCAGGCACACACCGCATCATGCCCTTTTTTGTCCACTTCTGTTGAACAGAAGTTACAAAAACGTCATTTGAATGCATTTGCCTGGTGAGCTCAGCATCCAATCTGGATTAGGCTTGAACACAGTCGAGGCAAATGAGCAAAATAAACAAAGAGCAATATTCAAAAGAGCTGAAAACATCCTCCTCATGCCGGTCTGTGAGGAGATACAGCAGATTTAGAGGACACCAGTGTGTTGGACACAGTCTGATTCATTGTCATGGGTTTCTCAGATGGCTTGATGACACTCTGGTGATGAGCATGCACATGTTTGATGTTACATATCAGCTAACTCCATTATTGGAGTATACTGTATATTGCACAAATGCTTTTCTTGCATGGAGTTTTTGTCTTGTTCCCAGTCCAAACATCCAGATATTCTTAAATCAAGATGCATTTTACAGACAGGCAAAAAACAACGCCTGCTAATTCATTCATTCATTTACCTTCAGCTCAGTCTCTTTATTTATCAGGGGTCGGCACAGCGAAATGAACCACCAACTATTCCAGCATATGTTTTACATAGCTTCTAGCTGCAACCCAGTACTGGGAAACACCAATAAAGACTCATTCACACACACACTCATACACTACGGCCAGTTTAGTTCATCCATTTCCCAATAGCGCATGTGTTTGGACTGTGGGGGATACAGCAGATCATACCATAGCGTTACCATAGCAACTGTAGAATCACCACAACAGATCAATTACTGTAGTTGTAGTGTTACCATAGCAACTGTAGAATCACCACAACAGATCAATTACTGTAGTTGTAGTGTTACCATAGCAACTGTGGAATCACCACAACAGAGTTATTACTGTAGTTGCTGTGTTACCATAGAAACGGTAGAATCACCACAACAGATCAATTACTGTAGTTGTTGTGTTACCATAGCAACTGTAGAATCACCTGTAGATCAACTGTTATAATTGTGTTTCTATAGTAACAGTCTTTTCATCCGGGTTACTATAGTAGTTTTAATGCGTCAGTAGTGTACAATCAACAGTCCTCAAACACTGCAGATCTGCTTCTCTGGTGCTGGAGTGTGTGAGTGTGTGTGTGTGTGTGTGTGTGTGTTTATAGAAAGCACGGCATGTTCACTAGCACAGCTTGTCTGTCTGCATCAGCTGCTTCAGATGGTCAGATGGAGCGATTGTCTTGTTTTCTGTCCTTAAAGCACAGACAGCAGAGCTAATTTTCCTACTGATTTACTCTACATATGTACTGGATGTGGCATCACTGCAAGGTTTATTTAACTAATGACCCAAACTAGCTGTAAGAGAACGAGCAGAAGGCTTAATTAGGCTGGGTATGAGCTCTTAGAGGACCTTCATCAGTCTGTAGTGTGTAAACTGGAGAGGTAGTTCACACAGATCATCAGATTAATGCAGATGACACAACTAACCACCAACAGCAGCTGTGTTTCCATATAAATATGCAAACTAGACCCCTGCACCAAACCTGAATAATGCATACATTAGTGAATGAAGCAGCGTTTCCATCCAACGAGAAACAGAAGAGGATAAAATCAACACTTCCAGATAACCTGGAGTAAATATGAGTCAGAGAGATGTAGATGAGTGCGCCTCTGTGCTCTGTATTCATCATATATAATGAAGAAGTAATGGATTCATTTACCAGTGACTTCAGAAAAGTAATCTGATTACTCAACTGCTGTTACTCGCAGTGCTGCTTGGTTCAATCTGGCCACATCAAATTATTCACACTCTTACTCTGTAACTTCTTAAAGGGGCACATTCCGGGACTTAATGAAGTTATTCTGCCTCTGTTTAATTTCTGCTGCTGTGTAAAGCCGCTTTAACAAGGATGGACACACACTAATCCACACTGGAGAAGATTCACTTCACATTAGGATGAACAGCACACTGAACAGCACTGAACCATGACAACACAATGTAAAGCAATCATTTATTAGATCAGACATTCCTGGATATGAACAGAAGATGATCATACAAATCACACGTTGAGCATGAGCTCTGACCTCACAATCTGCTGACATCCATTAATAAAACCAATAATCATTTCATACGCATTAAAACACGTTCACTGAACACAGAACAGAAGCTTCCCATCATCCCCCGCGAGAACTAACAGATCTAATCCCCTTCCACAATCACACAATACAAAAGCAGAAGTAAACAAACGCTCAAGTGTTGACCTGAGAGCTGAAGACGCTCCATCACTCCTCATGAACAGCAGCAGTCAGACCCTCCAGCAAAATCTCTCAATCCTACTCTGAAAACGGCAGATGATGTGGGCAGATTTTAGGAAATTTGCAGCCAATTTTATGGCTTTTTTCAGATTAATATTCCAAATATCTTATGTGCTTGTGTTTTTGTACGTAACACTGTGCTGATGGCGTGTTGTAGAGAGAGAGAAATGTGAACAGCGTCCTGCTGACCACCCAAAATATGCAGGAAATCTGTAGAAATAGACAAAAAGTGTGAGATTTTACAATAAATTCAGCAATTGCAAGATTGAGAACTGCCGGCGGGTCTGACAGCTGATTACGGTCATGACAAATCAGAAATCAGTGTTTAAAGACTTCACACTCAGGATCTGACTTATAGAAGCTCACTGACTGACTGATAGATAGACAGACAGACAGACTGACTGATTGATTGATTGATTGATTGATTGATTGATTGATTGATTGATTGATTGATTGATTGATTGATTGATTGATTGATTGATTGATTGATTGATTGATCGCTTCTACAAAATCTAAAGTGTGAGATTATTAGAGCCAACAGAGCTTCTGTATGTAAAAACAGCAATATAAAACATCTCCTACATAATCGTAGTCATCCAGCATGAGTATAAACTGTGCAGAAGTGTGGGGAAATCAGATGCTTCACATGTTCCAGTGTCAAATGTTCATTCATAAGCACTTACTACACAGATTCAGTGAGGCTGCGTGTGAAGGATGTTTTAGAATGAGACGCTAGATGAGATATTCTACTGGCACAGCAGAGAAACCCTCTCCTCTCCTCTCCTCTCCTCTCCTCTCCTCTCCTCTACTGTTCTCAAGACAATAGATGATGTGTTGGTCCCTCAGAGACACAGACTCAAGGTTTAAGTCGTGATCATGAGTAACAGCTCGTGTTTAATAACACGCTGAACATCCCTGTAACACACACTAGTAGTAATAAAGCAGATGGAATAATGAGCAGAGATGTGCGGATTTCTCCAGAGTCTCTCAGTAAAGCTGATGAACTCATCACTCATGAACAGAAGCTGTGTTCCCGCTGTACATCAGGCGTCTGCATCTACTGTATGCATTAGAGAGAGGAGTGGTTCAGTCCAGTGAGCGTGCTGTAGGGATATAGCGTTTGCAGGATTTCTCCTGCCTTGTCAGATTTATAAAGTAGGCAGCACATTTTGATGATTGAATATGCTGCCAGTGTAAATGTTGATGTGGAGTAGTGTGATGTGAAGCTGTAATATTGGCCTAACCTACCTAATCCCTAACCCCAATCCCAGAACCATTCAAATACGGTGCTGATAGCATGATCTGATGGGGGGGGTGTCATGTCTCTGGTGTGGGCAGGGTTCAGGGGCAGATGTTGGTCATTACAGACTTCATACTATAGAGATGAATTAAATCGGTCAGTACGAGCAGATCCTCTGAGCCGCGTGAGCAGCGGTGTGTGTGAACAGTGTAGCGTGTTGTGAGCTGACAGTAGTTCCAGACAGCGGCTGGGCTGTGTGTGACTCAGCAGAGAGCGCAGGAGTCTCCGGGATTGGGGCCGCTGCTCGGGGTATTCTCCGGGTCTTCTTCGGTGTCCAGAGGGTCTCTGTCTGGAGTGGCGGTGAACTCTGACGGTGCGTCCTCGTACCCGCTGCTCTCCTCATTATCAGGATCTCCGTCCACCACCGAGCGGCTGCTGTTCAGAGGCTCGTCCCGGTCCACTGATGAGCCCTGCGGAGCCGCCTGGAGCCACACAGGGGTCGAGGGTTTCTGAAGCTGCTCAGCGCTTCGCTCCTGAGGGATTAGGACATACACACGGATCAGACGGTTACATTCAACACCTCATTTAAAGACTTTTACATACTTTTTCATTTGTTAGGGAACCTGGCCCTGTTAGCTCGGTTCACTTAGTCATATGTGAACTCTCAATCCCACGCCAGAACAATCCATCAGCGACCGCCTGAATGAGGAGGCTGAAACGAACTCTAGAGCGGATCAACAAACTAAAGAAACGGGCTGTATCACAGTGTATTATGGTAATGTAACCGGTGTACAGCTGTATGAGGAGAGCAGGACAACATTCATTCCTACTGGAAAATAAAATGAAGCATGCAGTCTAACTGAACTATTATATATACGTAATGTGTGTGTGTGTGTATATATATATATATATATGGCAATGTAGAGGTGCAGTAGGTAGTGCTGTTGCCTCACAGTTGCCGTTTCTGTGTGGAGTTTGCATGTTCTCCCCGTGTTGGCGTGGGTTTCCTCCGGGTGCTCCGGTTTCCCCCACAGTCCAAACACATGCGCTATTGGGGAACTGATCAACTGCGCTACAGGTGAATTGGATAAGCTAAATTGGCTGTGGTGTATGAGTGTGTGTGGATGTTTCCCAGAGATGGGTTGCAGCTGGAATGTAAAAATTTGCTGCAATAGTTGGCGGTTCATTCCACTGTGGCAACCCCGCATTAATAAAGGGACTAAGCCGACAAGAAAATGAATGAATGAATATATATATATATATAATATATAATATTATTAAATTTCGGTTAACTGGACTTCTGATATATAATTGATACATACATACATATATATTACAACCCTAAACAACTGACTCGAGGCTCTGTGTGAGAAACTATTACCTCTGATTTATATTTGATGATGATGATGATGATGATGATGATGATGATGATGATGATGTCTGTACACTTATAATGTCTCATTTCTCATCATAAATTAAAGAAAATCCCAGAAAATAAGCCGAATTCTCTGAGTTGTGACTAGTTAAATCTATTTTAGAAACTCTGCCGTGTGAAAACGGACTGCACCAAGAACAGCAACACTGCAATGATGTTACGCCTGTGTCTGAACTGAACTGAACTGGTAACATTGGTGACACTTTAACTTACAGTATGTTTACTGAATAGAGCTGGTAAAGCACAGCTACAGGGTCTTAGCTTGTGAAATCTCTTTTTCAACGCAATATAACTCAGAAGAGGAAAGAGGAATGTGTTGATCTGACCGCCTCTGTGAGCTTCAGAGGAAAGCGGAGTACGACACATTAATAACCTATAAGAGGAGCTTCAGTAAACTCTCTGACCTTTACACTTCAGGCTCCTGTTTAAAACAACTCAACACGTTCATCTGTACAGACGCTGATGAGCAGAGCGTGATTTATCTTGTTTTTTCACTCCCAAATGAACCAATGCCATATTTCAGTAACCAGAAAAAGTCAAAAATCGAAATAAAAACATTAAAACATTAGTGTGAGCAGGTAAAGTAGACTGAATGATGACGTATCAGATCTGTTTTTGTGAAATGATGCATCTCCTGAATAGCACTGCTGATCCAGCAGGGGGCGCTGTAGAGCAGCAGCAGCATCACTGCAGTGAGGAAAGCAGCGCGAGGTCCAATCACACAGGCTCTTATTGACTTCATGAACTCCAGCACTCCAGTGTTCACTGATTATATTCAGGCAAACTTTAGCACACTCTATACATCACATAACACAATGCCATATAAAATAGCTCACCTCGTAAAACAGCATTAAAGACTTAAAGTACTCCTATTACTCAGAAATAAAGGTGCGAGAGCTGTCTCCCTTTTCATACAGCATTGTTCTGTTCCTAACAGGTCCTTAAAGGTGCACATTAACACCTGAACAAGCTCAAATCTGTATCTCATAGTAGCTTGAGAGTGCAAAAGTGTACGCTAAAGATATGCTGACGCTGTATAAAAGATGCTGTAAACCTTTTAAAAAAGCAGCGCTCCGGTGACAGATATATCCCGTTATTCCTGACAGTGTTGATGAAAGTTATCTGTGTGATGTGTGTGTGCAGAAGTGTGTGTAGTGCAGTGTGTCCTCAGTCATGCTGCAGTGACAGAAACACAGCACGTCTCTCTAATATTGCTGATGTTCAGCAGGATCTAAATCTCTCTGAGGCCGCCACAGCCTGATGTAGGAGTGCGGTTTCCCCGCCCACTCATATTGATTGACAGGAGCGTATTAACATGTCTCCATAGTAACGCATATAAACATGTCGGCAGAAACTGGGGTTAAAGATCTGTTCAGCTCTCTGTGATCAGCTGCAGCTCCACAATCAGTTTCACACGCTTCTGAACAGAGAGTGTGTGTGTGTGTGTGTGTGATGAAGACTGAACAATCACTGGCAGTCAGAAAAGTGTGTGTAAATGTGTGTGTGTGTGTGTGTGTGTGTGTGTGTGTGTGTGTGTGTGTGATGAAGACTGAACAATCACTGGCAGTCAGAAAAGTGTCTGTAAATGTGTGTGTGTGTGTGTGTGTGTGTGTGTGTGTGTGTGTGTGTGTGTGTGTGTGTGTGTGTGTGTGTGATGAAGACTGAACAATCACTGGCAGTCAGAAAAGTGTCTGTAAATGTGTGTGTGTGTGTGTGTGTGTGTGTGTGTGTGTGTGTGTGTGTGTGTGTGTGTGTGTGTGTGTGTGTGTGTGTGTGTGTGTGTGTGTGTGTGTGTGTGTGTGTGTGTGTGTGTGTGTGTGTGTGTGTGTGTGACCCACCTCTCGCAGTCTCTCCAGCTCCTGCTGTAATGAGATCAGCTCCAGCTCCAGCCTCCGCCGCACAGCTCTCTCACGCTCCAGCTCCTGCTCACACACACGTACAGTCACGAACAGTCACGCACATCCACACAGTCACGCGCACACACACACACACACACACACACACACACACACACACACACACACACACACACACACACACACACACAAACAAACAAACAAACACACACACCCACACACACACAGACAGTGTTGTGTACCGTGTTGCTGCGCTGTGTCTCTCTCTGCGCCTCCGCCAGCATCTCCTCTGTTCCCTCCAGAGCATCTTGAAGACAGTCGACCTGGAAGAGCAGAGCCTCCTGCTGCAGCGCCAGAGCCCGCAGCTCCTCCTGCACACACACACACACACACACACACACACATTACGGCAGGTTCTAAGGCTTTGATTTTCACCAGTGTATTTGGTTGTGGTGCACTGACTCCGCATGATAATGCTCATCACAGTGTGTTTGTAAGATCCTCTGATTCCCTGACTAACATGATCATCATCCGCGCTCTTGTGTCATCTTCATCTGTGATCAGGAACACACACGAGCGCGTGTCAGAGAGCTGAAATCCTCTTCCAGTTCTGTTCATACTCCAAACAGCTGAATCTGCTGCTCAGTTCCTCCACACACACACCGACACATTCGCACGATCACACACGGCTTGTGCATTGAGTGTAGGTGTAGCGCCCTGATATGAAGAGTAAAGAGCTACATCTGAAGAAAAGCGTGACCACAGATCCCAGTCTGCACTCTCTCCATCCTGAATATTCTTACAAAAAACAGTCAGTGTGTCCCGAACACCGTGTGCTGACACGAGGCTCCAGACGCTCCACTGTTCACGGGAGAACTGTAGAACTGGCTCTACAAGAGATACGGCTGCAGCCACAAGTTCAGTCTTTCATTTTCCTTTGGGAATTCCACAATGGAATGAACCACCAACTATTCCAGCATACGTTTTACAGAGTGGATGCCCTTCCAGCTGCAACTCAGTACTGGGAAACACCCATACACACTCATACACTCACTCACACTCATACACTACGGTCAGTGTAGTTGATCAGTTCCCCTATAGCGCATGTGTTTGGACTGTGGAGGAAACCGGAGCACCCAGAGGAAACCCACACCAACACGAGGAGAACATGCAAACTCCACACAGAAACACCAACTGACCCAGCCAGGACTCGAACCAGTGACCTTCTTGCTGTGAGGCGATTATACTACCCATTGTGCCACCCCGCTGCCCCAGCCAGAAGTGAATAAGGATTCTTGACATGATTTATCAGGGCTGGGCGATTTTGGCCTGGATCTAAATCTCAATGAATTGAACATTTTGACTTGATCACGATTAAATAATGATTATTTTATGTATTTATTTTATATTTTTGCCCTCATATTTCACCGACAGGTTATCTACAGCAAATATAGTCACATATTACAAGTGGGAGATTTCTGAACTAGAGGTGCATTACTTGATTTAAACACACACTATCCTCTGTCTATGATTATTTACTGAGCATCAATGCTGAACAACTGAAATTAACACACACACTGCCTAAAACCAACAGGTGCTTAATTCTTAAAAACAGGTGAAAATAAATCACATTTATTACATTATTATGTCCATTATTGTACATTATTTTAAAGTTTTTTTATATTAAAAGTAGAAAATAAGCAGTATTTCTTCTAAATAAATAACTCCTGTACATCCTGTAAACAATATTTAAGCATTTCTTATATCTTCTGTAAACAAACATTTGAATGTAAATCATTTTAATATAATGGACAACATGCCGTCGCAGGGCATCTCTGGCGCAGCTGCCAATCATCATCAGTGTAGTGTAAAGTAGAGCTGGAGAATGAGAGCATCGTCCTGCTTTAGATATAAACATACAGGCAGAGCGACATCACACAGTGCAGACGGGCACTGAAGCAACTGACCTGGAGAAACTACAGCACTTACAGGCTTTGATTGTTGATTTTTGATTATCTTTGCAATTAAGCCCAATTATTCATTAAATGATCTATTAATGGTGTTTAGTTCATACCTACCCAACCCTAAACTCAACCCTCAGTACTGTGAAAATAAGAGCTATTGCTGTACGGTGTCACAACACTGCTGCTCTACTGATGCTGCAGCCACAGCTGTATCCCCTCTACACTTTACCCTGATCAGGACTTTCAAATATCCTCATCATTTGTCAGTGGACACTTTTACCAGCTAAATGTGTGTAATGGATCTGAAAATATCAAGAACAAGCCAGAAATATATTAATATCTGAATCACTGCTAATAAGTACTTGCTGAAATCGACCAGCGCCCTGTTCCTTTAGCTGGAGAGTGTGTTTATCAACGCCTTACTACTGTTCCCTCACTAACAAGACATCGAGATGAAATCTAGCAGACCTGCTGAACCTGTCAGAGGAGTGTGTGTGTTTGACAGAGGAGCGGCTCTGAGTCACTTCACGAGAATCACATCAGGACAACTGAATCAACCTGTTCATGATTCACTGAGTCAGCTCACATGAGTCCCTACAGCCTCCACACCTGCTTTACTAACAACACACACACACACACACCTGGTGAAAGTCTGGTCTCCACTGGTTCACACACCTGTAGAAGGCAGAAGCTCGTCTTCATTAAATGATTCGTTCGAAATGCTCTGAATAATGTAGAAATATTGACTGAATCACTGACTCAAATGACTCATTCGGTGACTCGCTCATTATAAACGACTCATTTGCTGAACTGCTGTATAAACCGTGTGTGCTGATATTCAGGAAGCGGCGCTCCTGCTCAGCTGATATACTGTATAACATCATATACTATCAACAGCTAAACACAAACACAGGGCCCGATTTAACCAATCAGTGAGGCGAGCGGGCGCTTAGGCCCCCAGGAAATCTAGAGCCCCCAATAAACACCCAGAAGTATAAATTACACCTATAAACTATATACAACACTGCTGTCTATCATGTTTCATCAGGTGAGAGTTAAACAAAGAGTTTTACTGTGAATAAATGTGATTTAATATCAAACAAAAGGTAATATTGTTATAATAATTTAATGTTATGTAATAATAATATTATCAAATTAAAGATTATTATTCATCACAGGGAATACGAGACCCACAGCAGCACAGACGCCTGACAGAGGAGTGTGAAGAGGAGAGAAGATCTTACCAGCTCTATGTTTTCAGAAAGCACATCGTCTTCACTCTGAAACACACACACACACACACACACACACACACACACACACACACATACACACACACACACGTTCAATTCTCTGTGGATTCATAACACTGTAATAATCAGTGAAGTGTGTGTTTGCGCACGCACCAGGCTCTCGCGGGTCTGTCCTCGTTTTAGAGAGCCGTATCTGCTGTCACTGCGGGACAGGTGTCTGCTCGACTCTTCTGCCTGAACACACACACACACACACACACACACACACACACACACACACACACAGAATACAGCAAATAGCAGTGTAATATCAAACACAGTGAGAGTGTGTAGTGTACAGCATTGCTGCTATTGTTAATACAACGTCAAATGAAAACATTAAACACACACAGACATACTGTAAATGTAATATTACAAGCTCTACACCATCATATCTGTGCATATACAGTAGATCAGTCAGTGCTGAAGTCAAATCTGGAGCTGATCTAACACAATAACTTACGATAACCCTCCAAACTCCAGCACAGCCACATTTATGAGTTAGAGAAAAATCATAAATACATTTAATAAAGAGGAAAAATCAAGAGAAGCACAAAACTGAAGAGTTTATTTGAAATTTTGTAGGTTGTGATTATTTTTCAGTATTTTTCTTCAGTTTAATTGTGTTTTCTTTCCATTTCTGAAGATGTTCTGTGACTAAAATATTATTGTAATAAATAAATCTGTTTAATAACTCTGTTCTGTTCAAATGCACCAAAATATTCACGGAGAAATGGAAGACAACAATCACTTTCAAAATGGGGTGTACTCAAATATGCTGAGCACTGACACACACACACACACACACACACACACACACACACTTATTATGTCAAAACACACCTGTATTTTGGGTGTGATTAATCTCTGCCAGCACTCATTTTAATATTTCAGTAAAGGCTGAACTTGAAGTTGTGTTGATGTTACACAGTTTAAGATGTGTGTATGAGTGCAGTAATCATGAAACACAGCCATGAAGAAATCACTGTGGAATCAGCAGACTCTTCATCATCATCATCATCATTAACGTCAACAACATCTATATAAACAACAATTATTAATCTATCACTGTGTGTGTCTCTCTCTCTGTGTGTGTGTTGGCTAGTGCTGATCTCTGCTATTGTGTGAGATGTAAACAGATCAGAGATCAGACTCTCACCTCTCTGATGATGTGTCGGAGGGACTCATCCTCGCTCATTCCCCGGGACAGAGTGCGTTTCCTCAGCGAGCCGCTTTTCTCCAGCTGCCCGGTCTGCATGGTGATCCCGAACCGACCGAAAACCGACACCGATCCGCGTCTTCAGCGTCGATGTTCCGCTACCGGATCAGACAAACAGAGGGTGGTTCTCCAGGGGGCGGAGCTTCAGAGAGTCTCATGAGTGGGCGGAGCCGAGTCGCCACGTTATGAAACATTTCCTGTGGAAAAAAGTCTTCAAGTGGGCGGAGCTGACGAGAATATTCATATTTGCTCTACTGTGGGCGTGTCTTTCAGATAACACGCAGAAGAAAGGAACTGAAGTCATCTTTAGTTCACGCATTATGGCAGGCCATGATAACTTTTCATCTGGATCTCATCTCTCTATTGTAGTTAAAACATGATCTTGTGAATATCTAAAGGACAGTTTTTGGTCTTATAAATCTATTATTTGTTCTCAGGTGTATTATTTTGGCAGTGTTATTTTGTAACCTTTTATAATTGTCTTTAATTATGTTACCGTGTTGTACGCTGTTTGTCTTTGTTTACCGAATTGCTTGACGTAATCTTTATTTATTTTCGTGTATGTCTTTATTTCTTATTTTGTGTAATTACCATTGTAGTTTAATAAATCTGATAATCAAAGACACGTGTATAATAAACTCATTTTAATTCACATTTTTATATGTGTACATTTTCTTAAATCAAAAATGTAGATTTATAATATTAATATAGTGTTAATTAAATCATTCTATTGTTAATGTACAGTGAAACCGATGAGTCCATGGTGAGGTAAGTTAAGTGTCGTTATAAAGTACACTGCTGTTCCATTTGAAGAAGTCCCCGACTTGTGTCCTCGCGTCCTCGGGTGTTCGTTCTTCCAAGTCTGATCTTCCAAGGACGCAAGTCCGAACTTTGCGTACTCGGTATTGAGAAACAGCCAGTGTAGTCAGGTTATATTAGCTACAGTTGTCCACGTACAACTATCATTACAGCATGTGTGATACTGCAGGCATGTAATTGTCGTGTTTTATTTGGTGTTTTGACTTTATTGGTGATTTGTCAGGAATATGTTTGATATGATGTGAAACTGAAACTTGCTGTCATGTTTATCAGACAACATAGTGAAGTACAGGATGGTGTATGCTATATTATATGCTAGGATATAAAATAATACCTTCGACAAAATGTATTGATTTTGCTGCTTTCCTCTAAGGAGAATCAAAACACAGACACCTGAGTTAAACACAGACACCTGAGTTAAACATGCGTCATTATGACGCAATGACGGACGCGTCCAGCAGGTGTCAGTGTAGACTCATGGAGCATCCGCTGGAGGAGAAGATCACGTGAACAGGAGATTTCCTCGTCAATGTTTTTATTATCATTATTAAAGAGAATTCTACACAAATGGACATTTAAAACAAACCCCGTATATTTAAACACACAGTGAACGAAAGAGTCCCTAAAGCAGGTCAGTCTTCAGGGCTCTACAGCAGTCCAGACAGCCTTCTGGGCTTTAACACTTCCTACATCCACCAGTGCTGTGTGTTCAGCGTGTGTGTGTGTGTGTGTGTGTGTGTGTGTGTGTGTGTGTGTGTGTTACATTAGCGTGTATGTGTCTATGTGTGTGTTACATGTCTGTGTGTGTGTGTGTGTTACATCAGTGTGTATGTGTTACATCAGTGTCTATGAGTGTGTGTTACATTAGTGTGTGTGTTACATCAGTGTGTGTGTGTGTGTCTATTTGTGTGTTACATGTCTATATGTGTGTGTTACATCAGTGTGTATGTGTTACATCAGTGTCTATGAGTGTGTGTTACATTAGTGTGTGTGTTACATCAGTGTGTATGTGTCTCTCTGTGTGTTACATGTGTGTGTGTGTGTGTGTGTGTTACATCAGTATGTATGTGTCTATGTGTGTTACATGTCTCTCTGTGTGTTACATGTGTGTGTGTGTGTGTGTTACATCAGTATGTATGTGTCTATGTGTGTTACATGTCTCTCTGTGTGTTACATCAGTGTGTGTGTGTGTTACATGATCTATACACACAGACTGATGCATTATGGTTTTAATCTGTGTTTCTGCAGGCAGCGCTGAGGAGCTTCCTGTGTGAGAACATGCTGTGATGATGATGATGATGAAGAGGATGATGATGATGAAGATGAACGTTTAGTGAGTATATTTGGAGCTGTGAGTGTTGATCTCTCTCTCTCTCTCTGCTATTATTATCCTCGTCCTCTGCCTTGCCTTCGTCCTGATGATATGCAGGACTTCAGTGCCTAAATATATCCCGTCCTGCTCAGTGGAGACACACACACACACACACACAGATCTCTGATCAGGTGTCGTCCTCAGCGTGTGCAGTGTTTGCAGTTGTGCACATCTGATCAGTAACAGTGATTATTAGATCAGAGTAATCATCATCATCATCATCATCATCATATAGAGCAGCCTCTGCTGTTTTACATAACAGATCCCCTGACAGACGAGGCTGGCGTCACATGGTCTAAACAGCAGAACACACACACACACACACACAGCGCCCCCTACACACCCACACACTCCTCCTCCATACAGTGGAGATGTGACTGCAGAATATCAGCGCTTCCTCCTCTCCGTCCTGCTCTGAGTGCTCAATTTACCCACAATCCTCTGCTGTGTTTGGCTGTGAAGGGAAGCCTGGATTCAGAGCAGTTTACTGGACAGATGTGAAGGTGACACCACTTACATGTCAAAGACAAACTTCAGACGGCTCATTTAAGCTGGATTGATGTGCTCTTGGTGTTTGCCTCCATTAAAGAGTCCAAAATTCATCCATTACTGAAGCTTTAATAGTCATCTGCTGCACAGAAGAGTCATCCACAATCAGCAGATCAAGAACATCCCCAAACACGCTCAATATCACAGTCATATAGCTCCTCCCACCCATCATCTGCTCCTCCCACTCATTATCAGTCCCTTCCCCTCATAATCAGCTCCTCCCCTTAATCATCAGCTCCTCCCCCTCATCATCAGCTCCTCCCACTCATTATCAGCCCCTCCCACTCATCATCAGCTCCACTCCATTATTAGCTCATCCCCCTCATAATCAGCTCCTCCCCTTAATCATCAGCTCCTCCCCTTAATCATCAGCTCCTCCCCCTCATCATCAGCTCCTCCCACTCACCATCAGCTCCTCCCCCTCATCATCAGCTCCTCCCACTCATCATCAGCTCCTCCCACTCATCATCAGCCCCTCCCACTTATCATCAGCTCCACTCCATTATTAGCTCACCCCCTCATAATTAGCTCCTCCCCTTAATCATCAGCTCCTCCCCTTAATCATCAGCTCCTCCCCCTCATAATCAGCTCCTCCCACTCATCATCATCTCCTCCCACTCATCATCAGCCCCTCCCACTCATCATCAGCTCCACTCCATTATTAGCTCACCCCCTCATAATCAGCTCCTCCCCTTAATCATCAGCTCCTCCCCTTAATCATCAGCTCCTCCCCCTCATAATCAGCTCCTCCCACTCATCATCAGCTCCGCTCCATTATTAGCTCCTCCCCATAATCATCAGCTCCTCCCCCTCATCATCAGCTCCTCCTACTCATCATCAGCTCCTCCCCCTCATCATCAGCTCCTCCCCATAATCATCAGCTCCTCCCCCTCATCATCAGCTCCTCCCCATAATCATCAGCTCCTCCCCCTCATCCTCAGCTCCTCCCACTTGTCATTTATTGTGTAAAAGCTGATGAATTCACTCAGAGTAAGTCGCGTGTCATCTTAAAGCAAGTCGCTGAGATATTGTCGCTTATATTTAAAGTTTATTTTAGTGTACTGGTTGGTTAGTTAGTCAGGTCAGGTCATGTTCTGGTCCAGCTGTGTGGCTCTGATGTGTCCTCCTGCACGGTGTATGTTGGAGCAGTGCTGCTGAGTGTCCTGCTGAACCCGCCGCTGCTCTCTGCAGTGGGATTGTGCAAGAACTGCTGCAGGTTGTTCCTGTATTGCGACACATGCTGTAGTGTGTGTGTGTGTGTGTGTGTATGTGTGTGTGTGTGTGTGTGTGTGTGTGTGTGTGTGTGTGTTGAATGGAGCGCTTGACTGTGATCGTCTCTCAGTAGAGACACACACAGCAGACGTTCATCAGGAGAAATTAGGTTATGTAAGGTGCGGCTGATGACTCACACTCTTTGTCTCCCTCTCTTTCTTACACACACACGCACACACACACACACACACATGTACACACACACACCCATATATTTTGCACTCATTATATAGCCGTCCCCAACCCTACATCTACTCGCACCAATACACCGAACAGTAGTAAATGTCCCCACAAGGTCAAACTCACTGGTATTGCTGGTGTTGTGGGGACATTTGGTGCTGACATTGTGAGGAATACACATGCACATGCGCACACACTCACAAACAGACTTTTTCGCACACACACACACACAAACACACACACACAAACAGACTTTTTCGCACACACACACACACACACACAGTTTTATTAAGCAATCATCCACCATTCCCCATTCCAGCTGACAGCCGCTGACCTGCTTCTCCTCAGATAAGAGTGTGTGTGTGTGTGTGCATTCTCTTTCCACACTTCTGAGGATCGATAATCCTGATCAGCTTTTGATAAAGTGTGTGTGCAGATGAGGGAGTTCTGCTCATGGCAGCTGCTGTTGGCCTGCAGACGCTTCTTTGACTGCTGACTCTTCACTCATTCACCAACTCCCTTACTCACTCACTCACTCACTCACTCACTCATTCCCTCACTCACTCAACCAGTCATTCATTCATTAACTCACTCCATTCACTCACTCAATAATTTATTCACTCACTCATTTATTCATTCATTCACTCACCAACTCGTTTATTGAATAACCCAGATATTCATTCAGTCATTCATTAACTCACTCCATTCATTCAATCACACACTCATTCATTAACTCATTCATTCACTCACTTATTCATTCAATAACTCAATATTTTTTTCACTCACTCATTCATTCATTAACTCAATCATTCACTTGTTCGCTCACTCATTCATTCATTAACTTAATAATTTATTCACTCACTCAATCATTACCTTACTCAATAATTCACTCATTCATTCATTAAATCATTCATTGAATAACTCACTTATTCATTCAGTCATTTAATAACTCACTCCA